CCCCGGGCCCTGGCCAGCCGGTTCCTGCAGCGCCTGGCACACACCATGGTGCCTGGCCCCGAGGACACACTCTGGATGTTCGGGGGCCTCTCGCTGAGCCATGGCCTGCTGGACAGCGTGTACAGGTCAGCTGGGCCCTACCCCCTGCTTGGCTGTTCATGGCTCCGCCCCCAAGTCCCAAGCCCTGCCCCTGCTTCTGGGGACCCGCCCCCTTGACTCACCCCACGCCACCCCCTTTCACTCCCCTGACTGCCCCTACCCTTTGGCTCCTCCCCCTCATCGTAGTTGGACTGTCTGCGCGTGCGCGTCCCGGATGCCTGGGTCCCGTGTGTATGGGGGGGCTCCCCATCCCTGACCCCGCCCCCTGCGCAGGTACTCACTCCCGGAGCGGCGCTGGACACAGATGCTGGTTGGGACAGCGGATGGGGGCCCTGGGCCGGTGCCGCGCTATTTCCACGCGGCTGCCTACGCGCCTGCGCGCCGTGCCATGTACGTGCTGGGGGGGCTGGCGGCCAGTGGTGCCCGCCGCGACTTCTGGGCCCTTGACCTCAGCACCCTGCAGTGGCGCCAGGAGCAGGTGGGTGCTGGCTGTCCCCCACTTTAATCCCCTCCTGCAACCTCTAACTCTCGTGATCTCTGACCTTGTGGGGGTCTTGCATGGCTGTTTCCCTGATTGCTGACTCCTGTGATCCTGGGTTTTCTCACCCCTGCAACCCCCCCGTGGTCTGCTTTCTGGGCAGTGACCCTTGACCCCTGACCCTAGGCGACAGCAGTACCAGCAGTGGCCGGGCACACGCTGACCCCACGCCGCGGCTCGTCCCTGCTGCTCATTGGTGGCTACTCGCCCGAGAACGGCTTCAACACGCAGCTGCTGGAGTTTGACCTGGCAGCCGGCACCTGGCGCGTGGGGGCCCAGGCGGGCACCCCCCCCACCGGTAAGGAGCCCCTGTTCTCCAACCCTAGACCTCTGACTTGTCACACCTTAAGGACTCCTGAGACCTCTGCTGCCTGCCCCTATCCGTAAGGACTGCCCTGATTGCCTATTATTGGGACCTTGTACCCTCCCAACTCAGGGACCTTTGACCTCTGACCCCTTCTCCCAGGTCTTGAGATCCCCCCCATGCCTGTGACTGATTCTCACCCCTGGGAACCCACCCACATCCATGGTCTCTGACCTCTTCACCCAGGCATCCCCCTATTCCTGGGAACTCCTATGCTTCTGAACTCTGATTACCACCCTTTGGAACCACCCCAGTCCACCTCTGTGACCTTGGATCCCCATACCCCCGGCACCTCGGATCCCTTTCCCACAGAAATCTCCCTATCCCTGGGAACGTGTATGCCTGTGACTTTTCTGACCCCCATCTCTGGGAACCACCCCCATAGCCCGGGACCTCTGCCCCAGGAATCGCCTTACTCCTGGGAACCCCTCACCTCCGTGACCTCTGTGTGCAGCTGTGTGCAGTACCCCCGGGTACTACCCCCATCTCCATGATCTCTGACCCCCATACTCTTGGGACCTCTGACCCCTTCCCCCAGGAATCCCCCTATGCCTGGGAATCCCCACCTTCGTGATCTCTGACCCCCACTCCCATGTGCCTCCGGTCGCAGATTCCATGGAGCTGCAACCTCTGACCTGTGTGACTTACGACTCTTTTGTGATCCCCCTATGGTGTGGGCAAGCTGAAGCCCATCTCCCAGCCTGCCCCCCCGACTCCTGGGTTCCCCTTGGCACCATGCAGCTCAGGTGCCCCTGGGGTCCTCCCCCAGGTTTGTATGGGCATGCAGCCGTGTACCACCCCGCCCCCCAGGTCCCCCCTTGGCTGAGCTGTCCCTGCCCCCCCCCCCCAGGTCTATATGGACACACTGCTGTGTACCATGAGGCCACAGATGCTGTGTACGTGTTTGGGGGGCAGCGCTTCCACGTGGAGACGGTGTCGGCATCACCTGAGCTCTACAGCCTGCACTACCCCAACCTCACCTGGAGTCTGCTTGCGCCCTCACATGGTCACAAGGTCAGGGCTTGGGGTTGGGGGTCAGGGGTTGTGGGCATCCAGGATGGACTCCACGACCTCATGCTCTGTTGTCTCCCCTCTTCCCCCCAACACTGTGTGCAGCCGGTGCCTCACGTGTTCCACGCGGCGGCCGTGCTGGGCGACACCATGGTGGTAGTGGGCGGCCGTGCCGGCACCCGCGACTTCTCCAACCATGTCCTGCTCTACCAGGTCCTCTGCAATGCCTGGATCCTGCCGGACCGCACTGGTACTGCCTGCACTGCCCAGCCCTCAGAGACTGGTGTCCCCCACTCCCCTGCCCTGGCCCCCTTCAGGGTCGGGGGGTGTCTGTCCTCTACCTCATAGGTCTGGGGAGTTGTTGGGGTCTAGGGGGGTCTCTGTTCTCCTCTATAGGGGTCTGGGGGTGCTTCCAGTTCCATTCATTGGTCCCCCTTGGGGGCTGGGGTCCTTGCCCTTGTGCTGTGGGTTGGAGGGGTCTCTGGGGAACTCTGCCTCCTGCGCCATGGGTGTGTGGGGGGTGTTGGGATCTAGGGGGGGGTCCATGCCCTCTATGGGGGTCTGCGGGCTCCCCTGTTCCCCTCCCCTGGCCCTCCCTCGGGGTCTGGGGGGGTTGGTGGGCCCTGAGGGACTCTCTGCCCCCTGTGCCATGGGTCTGTGAGGGTGTTGGGGTCTAGGGGGGGCGGGGTCCCTGCCCTTCTTTATGGAGGTCTGCGGGTCCCCCAGTCTCATTCATTGGTCCCCCTTGGGGTCTGGGGTCCCTGCCTCAGTGCTGTCGGTTGAGGGAGTCCCTGTGGGGAACTCTCTGCCCTATGCGCCATGGGTCTGGGGGGGGGTCTGTGCCCTCCTTTATGGGGGTCTGGGGGCTCCCTTCCCATGGTCCCCCTCGGGGTCTGGGGTCCCTGCTCCTGTGCTGTGGGTCCAGAGGGGTTTGGGGGGCTCCTGGGGGATTCTCTGCCCCTATACATGGGTCTGAGAGGCGGTGGTAGGGGACGGGGGGGGTCCCCGCCCTCCTTTATGGGGGCCTGGGGGCTCCCCCCTTCCCCTCTCCTGGCCTTCCTCTGGGTCTGGGGTCCCTGCCCTCGTGCCGTCGGTCCAAGAGAGTTGAGGGGGGTCCCTGGGATGACTCTCAGTCCCCTGCACCAGGGGTCTGTGTGGGATGTTGGGGTTGGGGGCGGGGGGGTGTCCCTGTTCTCCTTTGAGGTCTGGGGCCTCTCCCCTTCCCTTCCCTGGCCCCCGTCTGGGGGGATTTGGGGGGATCCCTGGGGGACTGTTTGCCCCGTACATGAATTTGTGGGGGGTCTTGGGGGTCCCTGCTCTCCTCTCTGAGGGCCTCAGGGCGCTTCCAGTCCCATCCATTGGTCCCCCTTGGGGTCTGGGGTCCCTTGCCCTCGTGCTGTGGGCTGGGGGGGGTCCCTGGGGGACTCTCTTCCCCCTGCGCCGTGGGTGTGTGGGGGGTGTTGGGGGTCTGGAGCGGTCTCTTCTTCCCTCTACGGGGGTCTGGGAGTCCCCTGTTCCCCTCCCTTGACCCTCCCTGGGGTCTGCAGTGCGTGCTATGGGGCCAGGGAAGAGACCCTTTGCTCCCTGTGCCATAGG